TCTGGGAAGCAGACCTTGGAAATTCATGGTTCAAAGGCCAGCCTGGGGAAAAAAGTTAGTGAGACCACCTCTCAGTAATAAAGCAGGTATGATGGTTCATGTCTGTAGTTCCAGCTACACAAGAAACATAGGTAGGAGGATTACCAGTGGAAGCTGACCAAAAAAAGTAAGACTCTACCCTAAAACACAGAACTGCCAAAAAATAAGACAGGAAACCTCAGTGGCTGCCAGGGTTTGAGAGAGAGGAAGGATTAAAAGAAAGAACACAGAAGATGCTGGCAGTGAATAGATTCCATTTGAGACTATCATGATGGATATGGGTCTTATCATATGTCCAAACCCATAGAACACACAGCACCAAGCACCCACTGCAAGATCTAGGGTCAACTACGCACTTCCCACAGAACAGGGGTGGGGTGCTGACCGTGAGCACAGCTATGCATGAACGGGGATAGTGGCTGGAGAGAACTCTCAATTTTGCTATAAATCTAAAACTACTCTAAAGGAATGAATTTTTTTTTTAAAAAGAGCGAATCCTTCACTATGTAGCCTAGGTTGTTTTAGAAGTCATAATCCTCCTGCATCAGCCTCCTTAGTGCCAGGGAGATTATAGTCATGTGCCACTATGCCCAGCCCAGAGTCTTTAAAAACATATACAATCACATATATATGTGTGTGTGCATGTGTGTGTCTATATATGAATAAGTCATCAAAATTTAGAAACTTTAAATGCATAAGGACCAATGAGGCTTCACAGGAAATTGCAAAATTCTGCGAGATGATAAAATGACAACATTCAGGTTCTAAAAGGAGACACTGAGGGAAGGGCTTCCAGTGGTACCAGTGGGGCTTCTAGCGATGCCCCATAGGGTCACAGATGCACGCTGGGGCCACCAACATGTCACTGACCCCTGCTACTCCAGGTCAGGCTCTCTGGGGAGGGCTGCTCCTCCCAGAACCCTGTTGGCCCATGGGGGTCAATCAGATCAGGCATAGAGAGATTGTTTCCAAAGTCAAGACTCGGCTAGAACGCCAGGAGGGAGACTATGTTTATAGACTTGCCAAAAATCACACTTCCCCCAGTTTCTTTCCCATTCCCCCTGGCAAAAGCAACCTGCTAACACCACTGAGGCCAGGAGGACATTCCCGAACTCGCCACAAGGAGGCGATCGAGAGCAGTTCTAACTTGGCAGGCCTGCGCCAGCCTCATCTTCTGAAACCATAGCTTTCCAGGCACGGGCAAACTTCTTCTCTTTCCCCTCTCCTCTTCCTATGCCCTTTTGTCTCTATCCAGAAGTTGTGACAATCACAAGCCAGAAAGCTCATGACGGACATGGCAGAACAAACCTATCAGGTGGGTTTTTAACCTGCTGGGATAGCAGGTTAAAACACCTTCCTCATCTTTAGCCATTCCTGGGCCAAGGCAGGCAGGCATGCAGGCAGTCAGGCAGGCCGGCAGGCACGCACACATGCACACACATACACACACACACACACGCTCGCACACGCACGCACGCACACACACACACACACACGCTCACACACGCACGCACGCACACACACAAACACACACACACACACACATGCACATACACACACACACACACACACACACATGCACATACACACAGGCCAGGCTCAGGGTTCCCCGGGTCTCCAGCAAGGTGAAGGTGGTTCTTTATCTTCCCCTTCTTTTGCATACAAAGACCTGAACTGGCTCACTGCCGGTGACACAAAGGAGAAATTCCATTCACTACCTGGCTCCAGCCACAAGTGGAGAAGAAGCACAGGGATCCATCATGCAGACAAGCCACAGCCTGGGGAGCTGGGAAACCTGCTCAGTGGCCTGCTTCCATTGGTCTGCCCCCACAGTGCTTCTGTGGTGCCCCAATTCTGTATCTCTACTTATAAAACTGGACTCATAGCCTAGAGTTCCTGTTTCTCTCATTTAATTAACTGTTTCAGCATAAACATGCGCACGTGTGTGTGCAAACACACATATACATACACACACAGATCTCCAGTGGCCTTCTTTCATTTGTAAAATGAGGACCCTGGATTATTAGTGTTCAAGGAGGTACATAAACTACAATATCTATCTATCTATCTATCTATCTATCTATCTATCTATCTATCTATCTATCTATCTATCTATCTATCTATCTAACTCAGGCCCGGGGCACTGTCTCTTGTCTTTTTTTTTTTTTTTCCCTCAAGGCTGATGCTCTACAACTTGAGCTATAGCTCTACTTCTGGCTTTTTGGTAACTAATTGTAGATAAATGAGTCTCATGGGGTTTTCTGCCTTTGTTGACTTTGAACCATGATCCTCAAATTTCAGCCTCTTTAACTGTATTTTTTTTGTCTTTTCTTTTTTGGTACTGGGGATCGAACCCAGGATATTGCACTTGCTAGGTAAGCGCTTTGCCACTGAGCTACATCCCAGCCCTCAGCCTCCTGAGGAGCTAGGATTAGAGGGCTGTGCCCACGATGGGCTAAAATGTAATTTAAAAAATTTTTAAGGTCTTTTTTTTTCTTGAGGCAGCCCTTGCTATGCAGGCCAAGATGGCCTCAAACTCTCATTTCTTATGTCTTTACCTCCCACGTGCTGGAATGTCAGGTGTGCACCACCATGCCTGGCTTAAAATTTAATGTTCACTGTGAATGTCAAGTGCTTACTTCAGCAGCCAAACACTAAAACTGGGATAATACTAGTTAGCATAGCTCCTGCACTAGGATGGCATGCAGATGCATGGAGCATTCTGTATTTTTTGTTGTTGTTGTTGTTGTTGGATGAGGGGCTTGAACTCAGGGCCTAGATGCTGTCCCTGAGTTTTTTTTTTTTACTCAAGGCTAGTATCCTACCACTTCAAGCCTCAGAGCCACTTCTAGTTTTCCAGTGGTTAATTAGAGATAAGAATCTCAGGGGCTGGGAAGGTGGCTCAGTGGTAGAGTGCTTGCCTTGCATGCTTGAGGCCCTGGGTTCGATTCCTCAGCACCATATAAGCAGAAAAAAAAAAAAAGCCAGAAGTGGTACTGTGGCTCAAGTGGTAGAGTGCTAGCCTTGAGCTGAAGAGCTGAGGGACAGCGCCCAGGCCCAGAGTCCAGGCCCCACGACCGAACACCTCCCTCCCCCCAAGAAAAAAAAGAATCTCATGTACTTTCTTGCCTGGGTTGGCTTTGAACTGCAATCCTCTGAGCTCAGCTTCCTCATTAGCTAGGATTATAGGTATGAGCCACTAGTGCCCAACCATTCCATAGTTGTGTAGTAACCTATTATGCATATTAAGAATAAAAAGAAGAGAGGAGCTCAAAGAGGCCAAACTCTATGGAGTGATAGGTGATAGAAACATAATCCCCCTATTAGGTCAAGACATACCATACACATGGAATGAAGCATCCCACTGTATCCCAAGATATTCATGGACAATCTTAACATTTTTAAGACAATGGAAATAGTAGCCATGCTGAACTGATTACTATACATGTATTCATGTGTCAAATTACAAATATACCCCATCAATCTGTATAATTAAAATGATAATTAATGACAAATGACCAGGTAAGAGCTTAAAAAAATAATAATATTGACAACACAAATAGCAGGCATTTTTTAGGACAGTTAGTTAGGATAATGACCGAACCCACACAAATGATGATAGGGTTTCCTTCTTTAAAGAAAGTTAGGGCAGTGAATGAACCCCATCTGTTCTAGCTGACCTCAGGAGCTTAGAGAACATCTGTCTCCTCCCTCCTTCTTCCGGCCATACCCTTGCTGCTTGGACTAGACTGTACAGTTTTTGCATGCACAGTTTTCCTGTGCCCTTTTCCCCCAACCCTAGCTGTCTACAAACTGAAGTGCCAAATGGGAGCCTCAAAAATGGTAGCGGGCCTATGAGACACCAGCAGAGAGAAGTTCAAATCTATTACCTGTAGGTTTTGTTTCTGGGGAAAGAGGGAGGGAAGGAAGACAAAGGAGGCAGGGAGGGGGGAAGAAAAGGAAAATAAGCAAGAAAGGAGAAACTACTAATAGAAAAACAGTAATGGCACATGATCAAGGCAGGAAGAGAATCTTTCTACTCTGGAGCAAAGCTTGTTGAAAGGCAAAGCTGTGTAATACTCTCCATCCTTTCCTCTTTGTGGGAGAAAACAACGTTCCTGTGTTTATAGTCTTCACATGGTCCCTCTCCCTCCCGAAGCCTCTCCCCCCTCCCTCCCACCAAACTTGAGAAAGTAGAATGAGGCTGAAAAATCCATCTCTTAGGGCATGTATCTAACCATCCCAGCTTCTGGGGCTGGGAGGTGAGGCCAGGTTCATTCTGATGTCTGTCCTTCAAGCAAGTAGAACTCACGCAATTTCTACCACCTTCGAAGGGTTGGTGACCTCAGCTAGTAATTACTCAGCTTCTAGGTTATTAACCCCAGCCAGTTCTGATTCAGCCCAACCACAAGGATATCTTGGACTCTAGCTGATTCTTCAGTAAATTCTTTAAGGCTGATATCTGTCATGGTTCAGATCCTAAATGTCTTCCAAATTCCATATGCTAAAGGAATGGTGACCAGACTATGGCAGGACTGGGAGTGTGAAACGTTTAGGAGATGGAGGGCCTGGGAGGCCGTTAGGTCATTGGAGCAGTGTCCTGGAGGGGTCTGTGGGACCTGGCCAATCTGTTCCCTCTTTGCTTCAAGGATATTAAGGCTCTATACTCCACCATGATTGCTACCTGTCCACAGGTCCAAAAACAATAAAGCCAACCAAGCAGGGGATGAAATCTCTTAAATCATGAGCCACAAAAAAAGCCTTTCTTCTACACATGTTGATAATTGCCAGTATTTTATCATAGTGACAGAAAGCTGTCACTAACACAATAGTAAACCAATGAAGTTCCCTAAGATTAGAGATTAAATCAAATCAGTATCAATCATTAGGAGGATATGAGAAGCATAAAATACACACATGAAGTTAGAAAGCCATATCGGAAACTGATTCGTGAAGCTTACCCAGAGATCTTTCTTTTGTCTGGTTGGTTGACCTCACCACGGGAAGGCTTGCTCGAGTCCGACTGCCTCGGGAAAAAGGGCTTGGTGCATCTCCTTCAGACATGGCTTCTAGAGAGTCACCAGATGTTTCTGATAAATGCTCAACCGGGTCCCCGAAGGTGGTAGACTGAGGGCTGTGAGACAGCTTGGGGCTTCTCGTCTGCAGAAGAACGTGGGAAAACAGATGGCTATTAATCATGCTGAAGATATGCTCAGTGCCATCTCTGCCAATCTGAAAACCCTATGTCCAGGAGGGAAAAGTCCATTGGAAGATCTGGATAGGGAGAGCTGCAGACTCAGAGGGCATTTCAGGAGCTGTGGTGGAAGCAACGGAGGCCGATAACTGTCTGAGTATGTCATGAAGTTTTTTACTTTTTATTTTTATTTTCTTTTATCACTGGATCTTCAGAGAGCTGGGGACAAGTCCAGTTCCCTTTGTCAACATATTCTCCCAGTTGTTTCCACACAACGGATGGGCCTGTGTGCATCTCTGCCACACACACAACACGGACGTACGCTCACACCACAGCAAAGAGAATGCAACCAGCCAGTCTTACACTAAGACTGTTTCCATTTCAGGAAACTAACAAAGTGAAAGAGGTATTTTTTATCACTGTTGAGTATATATGACACATATATATTAGATCTATATATACATATATATGTGTATAAATTTTTCACAGTATTACTAAAGCCTGAATTTGGGGCTTAACACTCTTGTTTGGCTTTTCTCCTTAAGGCCAGGGCTCTACAACTTTAGCCATACTTCCAGTTCAAATTATTGCTGATTAATTATAGATAAGAGTCTCAAGGACTTTTCTGCCCGGGTTGAGTTTGAACTGCAATCTTCAGGCCTCAACCTCCTGAATAGTTAGGATTACTGGGGGATGAGCTCTCAGTGCCAGTTTTTTGTTTTTGAATATTTTTATTTTGAGGCAGAAATTCTGTAAGTAACATGATGTCTAACTTTGGTTTTTATTTACTAACAACAAAAATATATCTGAAATAGAGAACATAACTTCCACACATTCCCCAATCAAGTTTCTCTCCTCCTTCTTGATGGTATTTCACTAGAACCTCAGTATGCAAACTGCTCATAATCTATTAGCCAGGAATTTCCCTTGGACACGAATTGTGACATGAGCAGTTGGAGATTAAGTCCGACAACACACTGGCAATGTCAAATGCTTTGTAAAGTAATTGGCGGAATTTGTGAAGAACAACAAATAACTAAATTATAAAAACACGAGTTGTAAGATATATACATCTATTTTCAACAAACACTTACTGAGCAACGACCAGCTACATACTGGGGACAGAATGACACTCAAAGCAGACACAACTTCTGCCCTCATGGTGTTTATAACCGAGTTAGGAGATATATATTGAAGACAAGCCAAAGGTAAAGGGGTAGTGTGGACCTAAGATTGGTGGTGGTGGATAGTCAGAAAACAAAACAAAACAAAACAAAAACCCAACACCTTGGGGAGGGAGGTTGGGAATGACTTGGTAGGAATAAAGAGACAGAAAGATGGAGATGCATACGCAAAGTCCTGGGGGCAGAGTGAAGCTATGAGCACTGGATGTTCGGTGGGGAGAAGATCAATGCCACCTTCTAATCATGGTAAGAATTCCCTAATTTGACCTTCAGAAACTGAACACTTTTGCAACATTTACACAGGCTAACAGATAAGCATCCAGCAGGATCATTCTGGCTATTATGTAGAGACTAGAGATTGTAGTAGAAGAGCAAAGAAAAGGGAACTATAAACCTAGAAGATTATACTAAATGAATGCATGATCCCAACCTCGCCATCTCCTCTGGCCCACACTGACTTGTGTTTCATGAGTCTGGGAACCTCCGATGAGGCAAACGGATACAAATAAATCAAGCAGAGAAAAGGAATTTTTTCTTAGTAAGATGCCAGAGGTGCTGCTGGGGTGGTAGTGGGATATGGACAGTCTCTAGGAGTCAGGTGTGTTGTTGTTGCTGGTTGTGGGGCTTCAACTCTGGGCCTATGTGCTGTCCCTGAGCTTTTTCCCTAAAGGCTAGTGCTCTATCACTTTGAGCCACAGCTCCCCTCTGGTTTTCTAGTGGTTATTTGGAGACAAGATCACATAGACTTTCCTGCCTGGGCTGGCTTCAAACCTTGATTTTCAGATCTCAGCATCCTAAGTAGCTAGGATTTCGGTCCTGTCCAGGAGCCATGTTTGTTCTGCCTTTTATTCTTTATCCCTTTAATGCTTTCTAAGGCTACCAATGCATTCTGAAGCTAAGCACTCCACCTTTCTATGCCTTCTATGAATCATAGGCACAGTCCATGCTTAGCCTATAGTTGAGATGGGTTTTTTTAAACCAGTATATGTATTTATTTATGTATTCATTATCTTCAAGTGTATAAAGGGTTTCAATCCAACATTATCAGTTTCTGCATAAAAGGTATCTTGGTCAATGTCACCCCTTCACTCATTTTTTCCCCCAGGAGATGAAGTCTTGTTAACTTTTTGTCTGGACTAGCCTCCAACTGCGATCCTCCTGATACCGGCCTCCTCAGTTGCTGGGATTATAAATGTGAACAAGTGCACTCTGCATCATAAAGAATTTTCTGAACAAAGGGCTCTGAAAGCAGGTAACTAATGGAGATTAAGGCTTTGCTGCAGCTCTCTCTGAGGGATGCCCTAGGCGTCCCTGGTACTCTAGAGAACCCCCTTAGGGAATGGGAGAGCCAGGTTCTTCTCCTTTGTATTTACAGTACGTGGGGACACCTCCTGGCTCTACCATGGTTGCATTCTCTGACCCCCCTCCCCACGCCATGCTACACTGCTCAGGACCTGCCCATAAAGAAACATGGTAATAAAGTCAGCTCTTCTCCTGCATCTTTTAAGGGATGTGGCTTTGAGGAGATGCCTGAGTGTTTCTTAGAAAACTCAGCCAATTAAAAGCTAATCTGATTTTTAAGCCAAAAATTACAGCCAGAGAGGGCTGTTCATTAACAGGAGTTGTCCCTTTTGCTTAACACGTCTGTGCAAATTTCCCATGTGGTTCCTTTCCAGATTTATTTTTTTTCCCCATAAAGTCCTTTTCTAGTATGGAGATCTGTCTCTTTAAGAGTATGATTTAACTAGGGAAATTATCTGTGAATCACTGTTCAGCTTGCCAAGAGGTGGAGAAATTCATTTGGTCTTCAGTGAAGTAGCTTCCTAATTTGTACACTCAGCAGACTATCATGTTGAGAGGTCTTTATAAGAGAAAGAGAGGAGAGGAGAGAGAAGAGAGAAGTGAGAGGAGAAAGACACAGGGGAAAGACAAAGAATAAGACGTAGAGGAGGATGAGGAGGAAAGGAAAAGAGGAAGAAAGGAAGGGAGGGATGAATGGATGTACTTAGTCTAGGAAGATGGCCAAAAAATAATATCGCTTGAAGCAATCTAGCTGCCTTTGCTGTGCGGTTGGGTTGAATTTCCAGCCTATGGTAGGCACATTACATTTGATGAGCTGTCATTTTCTATTGCAAAAGGCAATAATCCTTGAAGAAAAGAAAAATCAAATCTCTGTATCTTGTGCAGGATCATCATGGTGGTAGGTAAGTATAAAAATAGAGATCTAAGGGCTAATGTGGTTCCCTTATTTCTTCGACATAAGATATTTTAGTTCCAAATGGACACTCTCCTTGTTTGCTGTGTCATTCACTTTCTCACAGAAAACCAGCTGTCTCGCACACACAGTACCCTCCCCTCAGAGGGCAGCTCACTACAGAGACTGCATTTAGGTGAAAGAAAAAAGGATGGAAATTGTAGACCCAAATATCAGATACTCTGTGATTTGACACATTGAAAAAAATAGACAAAAAACTCTTGGGACAAGAAGTCTTTAGTTGGCACAGGGCTAGACACAGACGGTTGGGGGAAGTGACAAGAATGACAGGTACTACCTATACCTCTTGCACTCATAAGGCATTTAAGGTATAGTATATCTTTAAGAACTGGAAGAGAAGAGCTGTATCCCTCTGACTGTAGAAGGGACTTAGAGGAGTGAGGGCATTAAAAGTTGGGGGCGGGAGACACTTTTCCTGAGATATGCTTGTGTTTGTCCTGAGCTGACCCATGAACTGTTTGCTCCACCCACTCCCAGCTCATCAGCCCCTGATTGGACCAAGCAGGTTCAAGCAGGTCCTGATTGGACCAAGCACCTGATCTTAGACGAATCAATCAAATTCTCTCCCTTGGAAAGACAGCCCCCGGCCAGAGAAATTGAAGTCGTTTTAAGCTGAGTCTAAAAGACAAAAGGAAAGGGAAACAGTACAGAGAAAACAGAACAGAGGAAACAGATGGAGCAAATCTGTAGAGGAGCTTGAAGATGAGAATGAGAGGCACAGAGCCCAATGGGACAGTCACAGGGACAGAGAGAACAAACAGTTCTTGGGTTTCCCATTGCCTCTTTCCAGTCCACTGTGAGGCCCTTTCTACTGGTTCTCCATTCAATTCCATTTTGTTCTTATATTAGTTTGAAATGACTCTGTCTTGCAAGCACATAATCAGTGACAAACACCAATTCTAACCAGTCCTCCTCCCCTGGCTACTGTGGTGCTCACAGATTTATAATAATGAACAATGACCATAGACAAAATTTAACTCTTTGGAGCATTTTTATCATTATTTTAAGGACTAAAATTTATTTGAAAACAAAATGAAAAACCAGTCCAGGTGTAGTGGCTCAGGTCTGTAATGCTACCTACATGGGAAGCTGAAAATAGATCAGAATTCAAAGCTAATCTGGAAAGAAAGTTTGCAAGACCTCCTTCTCAGGGGTCTGGTGGTGGGTACTTGTCATCCTGAGCCACAAGAGTAGCTGAGATCAGAAGGACTGCAGTTAAAGGCCATTCAAGAGACTTCATCTCAAAGGAAACAAACTAGATGAGGTAGTACATGCCTGCTATGATGGGAAGTCTAAAATAGGCAAAACAAAGCTAGGCTTACACCTAGGCAGGAAACTAGACCCTATCTCAAAAATAACTAGTACAAAAGCAGATTAGAGATGCCTGAGTAGTAAATGCCAAGCCCTGAGTTCAGTACCAGAGAGATAAATAGATAGATAGATAAGACAGACAGACAGGGCCTGGCACTGGTGGCTCATGACTGCAACACTAGCTACTCAAGAGGCT